GTATGTAAATGATCGCTTCGACAAAATGCTTCAATTAGGCAGCAAAATAATCCATTTTATCTCAACGTTATCTGTCTCTCGGAGAGTTGACGTTCGAATTTTGAGCCGCGGCTGTTGATTGGTCGGATTTGAGACGACGTCATTTCCTGCAAGTAAAAGCGCCGTTCGCTAGATGGCGCTAATGTATAGCAGAAAATAAATCACACTTCCCTGCAGGTGAGATGTAGCTGATTTGGTATTCTTGGTTCGTCTGCATATTCTGATCCTCAGAGACTAAACAGTGGACTACCACACAGCGCGCCAGATAGCTAATTATAATCCTTTCCGTTTCAATCAGCCTCTTTTCACCATTTCCCTGTCTGTCTGTCTGTCTGTCTGTCTGTTTGTCTGCAGGAAACAAACAAAGCAAAGTGGAGAACATTCACCACTGGGGAGCGGAGGTACAGTAAATGTCTTTATAAATGGAAATTAGATTAATACTCATCAAGGGTCAGGCTCATTCAGCCCCTCTAAATGGCTAATTGAGTATTTATAATTGACTGCAGAAGATAAGAGCTTGGGTGCTCTGCGAAGTGCTCTGCTGCATGTGGATAGAGCTGATAATTGTGTTATCTTATATTCCTTGAGGTTTTTCTGAAACTCTTGAGGCTCTTTCAAAAATAGATTACACAGAAAGTCAATTATTATATGAATGCACATTTTTAATTTGAACTAGTAAGTCTTATGACACTATGCTCAAGTGTCCAGCCTTCTATCTTGTTTTTACTTATTCTTTTCTTTACATTAGGGCCTATATACTCGCATAATGCCTTCATACCCACTACTTTCTTAAAGCTACTGCTCTTGCATAAGTACCCATTCCTTCCTTCTCAGGTTTTGCTCAATAAATGTTCTGCAAATATTGGATTACACTGAATACATGATGTCATTTACTTTCCCAACTCAAAGTCAAACAGGCATGTCTTACTTGGCAGGGTGCGGGGAAGGAACTTGCACCTTTCCTGTATGGCACTGCAGCTAATGTAACATCCATTTTGAGCTTCTGTCAGTGAGGATCCAAGAAAGTGTCCATGACAGCCAACTGAATGGCATATTGAGGCTACAGAAAGCGTTTGGTAAAGCTTGGGTGTTGTCAGTGTCACCCACTGAAAACAAATTACTTCAGCGGGGAGCCTCAGCTGTGAAACAAGCCTGTAGTTTCGGGCGAGACCTTCAAGTAAAGCATGCAGGCAGGGCTTGATTTAGCTGACTTTTCTCACAAATATTTGGCGCTTTGCATGTTCTCAGTGGGATTATTTCCATATTGCGTATGCAAGGATATGTAGCAGTTAAGCTTTATTACAAACAGAATTAATAAGATTTTATTACAGTTGAAAATCCCACCTAAACTGCAGCTAACATTATAAGTTGTTTTTTGTTTAACAGATGTGTACTTTTAGTATGGGTTAGGTGCCTGAGTAAGTGTTGGAGGTATGAGTGCTCTGTCACTAAGTGAGCCATACAGACCTATAATGACTCACTGTTTTAATAATAAGATCACTTCTGTTTACCTAAAAGGTGTATTATTCTTTCTAAAAGCAAGTAAATGTTACAGCTGTTGCCTTAGGGAAGGCAGGGAAATAGTGAGTGGTGCGTTTTGTGTGTGAGAGCGTTTTTTCGAGTCTGCATTAAAAAGAAAAAGAGAGAGAGAGAAGGAGGGTGAGAAACAGATAGACAGCCAGAGGGACTCCACAGGTTTTAGCTCAGTGTGCTTTAATGGACAAATCCATCAAACCGTCATTTCATGCCACCTCTGACTATCCATGTGTCAGATGCAGAGAGAGAAAAACATATTATCACAGGTACAGGAGAAAGAGAATCAGAGATACTGATTTTAAAAAATGCAGTGTGCATTGTGGCAGCAAGAGAAATTAGAGCATGTGTAGATACAAAGAACAGATGACTACAGACATCAACACAGAGGAATACATTGCCTTTTTAGTGCAACAGTAGCTAATACAAGTGTATTTATCTAATGACGTGATGCACTGATATTAAGAGATCACAAACTCATCTCTGTCCAGTCAGTTGTCTAATTCACCCATCGCTGTCCAGACAGTCTGACTGGCCAATGAAAAGATCATCTGCTCCTCTACCAGATGAAAAGTATTAGCCCTAATCTGTGCACTCGCCTCAGCTGGGGCCAAGCAAACACAGCCCTACTTTTTAATATGGAAAATGTGCGTATGGTGCCATACTCACAATTTATGGTAATGAAATCATAACACAGGTTGTGTAATCAACCCCAAAAGCTACCTTTAAGACAGAAATTTAGCTTAGGAAATCAGATTATGGCTTGTTTTATGGAGCTTAAATTGATGGGAAACTGTAGAACAGATAAACAGGAAGCCACCTACAGCATTATCATTTTTTAAAAGTTTAGTCTAGTTGACATTAAGAAGAAGGACATCAATGTCAAGGATAACAAAGTAAAGACTTATCTCCATTGTGATCCTCGCAAAGATGCAGGAGACTACGTGGCACTAAGTGAACTACCAACAAACCAACACAATTAATACCTATATTATCATCAATAATATCACTCCAAACCAAGCATCCAAAGAAAAAAAAATACATTAAACAATATCATTTTAACCATTATCGTGAACTTACTCTCCCAAATTTCCTGTTAGCCTTAATTGAAACTTCCTTTCCAAATCACAGGGGTCACTAAGAAACTAAAGAACAGCAGGTACCCATGTTTGTATTAAATTTCAGTAAGCACAACACTAGCTGTGGTCCGGTTGCCAATCAGTGTTAGAATTAAGAGTCAGGGCCTCAAATGGCCTCTCAAATCCACATTGTAACACAATTACTCATTTAATTAAGAAGAGGGGATAACTGGGGATAGCAATGTTGTGTGTTTCAATATTGGCGAAGTGACTTTTAACTTATGCACTTTTTTTCCCACCTAAAAAGCGAGGAAACCATTTCGCGCTGCATTCCTAACAAACCAAACTGGAGAAGCTTTCCTTAACCATCACATCCCTTTGAATCCAGACAACAGCAGCACTGAGCCCCAGACACACAATCGACTCTCTGTGGGGAGCAGCTTGGTCATTATGCCTTACAGCCTGCTCTTGAACACCCCACTGAGCCATTTACTTCACAGCCAACATCCCCTCCGTTTACTGATCTGTTGCTCCATGCCATACTGCTGCACTGCCTCCGCAGGACCGGAAAAGCTCACAGGGACTAAACAAATCCTGTCTGGAGCTGCAAGGGCAACAATTGTTACTTAAAGAGAACTGGAATTGATGACTGTGTCTGAACTTTCAACTTTAAAGCTCTGGACAACTGTGGAAGCGTGTGTCATTGACCCCGGGCAGATGGCGCTTGTGCCACGGCTCCCCTCTGCCCACTCACCTTTTGTCTGTGCCCACTAGAGCCAGAGAGAAACACAGCTCCTAAGCAGCTTGTACAGGTCTTGTGGTGTAGGAGTGCCAACCTTTTTAGATGTACAATAGCATAGCATACTGTGAAGTCTCTGGATGGGCCAGTCATAAAGGGGGAAATACTAACTATCAGATCCCTAAATTAACACCTTAACGGCTTGCCTCACAAATAAATCTTTGGCTTGGCTTTTAACGGAGTAGTTTGACATTTTGGGAAATACTCTTATTCGCCAGCAGCTAGTTAGCTGAGCTTAGTTTACCCTCTGTAAAACAATTTCTGTTATGGATTAGGCAAATTAGATGTAACGTGTTTTGAGCTTTAGAGGAGACTTATGCATGGTAGGCAGATTGTATTCCCTCTGAACAGAGCCATGCTAGCTGTGTATTCTCTTTCCAGTCTTATGCTAAGCTAAGCTAACTGACTGCTGGCTCCAGCTCAACCTTCTCATCTGACGCTTGGCAAGAAGTGTTTTTCTCAAAATGCTGAACTATTGTTTTAATCACCTGTTGTATCAACTTTTTCTTCTGTCCTAAAAGCAATAATGCCTTTTTGGTATTTCATATAGTCTACTCTATGATGTAGTTTATAGCTTCAAGATTTTCCCTATTTGACTTCATTTTTACAGCACTCATTTGAATGCAGACTTTAAAAAATGGTTTGTAAAGAAGGTTTTGGGTTGAGAACACAGATTGCAACTGTATTTCAAGTTTTATTTTCCAGTTTAGTTCCATAAAATCTTTTTTTTTCCTTCCCTCATTTCTGTTGGTCGAAGTCTCTTTGCATTTATCCATGACCACCTTTGTTTTATGATTTGAATTAAAGTGCAATGTGCAGAAGTCTAAATGCTGCATCCTCATGCCAAGTGCTTATTATAGTCTTTTTTTTCTATGCGTACAGCAAGCAAAGCTGCCCTCACATGGCATGCACAACTCCACTTTGTACCTTTGTACTCTCTCCAGGTAGCAGAGAATGAAAAATCCCCTGGATGCCAAGTAAGGCTTTTGTTGAGCTGACATATGTTTGTGCGTGCGTGTGCCGTGAATTCGATAGCGGAGTCAGAGGCAGAGAGGCGGTGGAGAGAGGGAGTAGCAGTAGACGTATTATGAGATAACGAAAGAAAGATGACAAAAAGTGGAGAAGAAAAGGCAGTGAAGGCTGGAGAGAGAATGAGCCAGGGAGTTAAGGGGCCAGAGGAGGTCTGGATTCCGACAGCCTGTGGAGAATTGAGCATCCCACACACAGATGTTCACAATCATCACCCATGACAATTAATAATAATAATAATGACTGCTGTGACAACTGGGAGAATCAGAAGGCAATGACTGATTGGATGATAATTCCCTGAATTGGCCTGTGGAATTATTTACTTTGGAGTGGCTGCGGGAGGCAGAAGCAAAAAATATCTAGCTAATTAATCCAGTTTGGTGTCAGTTGTCTGATGAAAGAGAGAAAATAAGGAGAGGTCAAAGAAAGTTGAAAAAGCAGCTATCACAGCCACTGACCTGATAGAGTGAGTTCAGAATTTGACCTCTGAGAAAGGTTAAAACAACTCGCCCAGATAACATCAGCATGGAATCCCATCAGTGATCACACCAATGTAGTCATGAGTAACGTCAAAAAACGAGAGCGAGACAAATTCTGTTTGAGATGCATCTACAGTAAACCTACAACAGATCAGTGCCTGTACTGAAACAGCAGTACACACTCTCTCTATAACTTTAGAATAAAATGAACTTCTTCTAAAACACATAAGCTTACCAAAATGAGCTGCACATTGCTCGAGGCTGCAGTGTGGTAAACCTCATCAACAAGACAGACAATGAAGTCAGACAGAACATTCCTGCTTTGATTTATCTCAGAGAATGAAGCTGGAGGGGATACAGGCAAAAGGTTTATCTGTACTCTTAAGTAATAAATAGTTGGAAAAAATGTCTTCTGAAGCTAAATAAAGGCAATGGATGTGTCCTTTTCGTTTTGTTTTTTAGGGAAATACCTGAGTACAGACTAAGGAAAGATTTCTTTGCGTGCTGTTAAGTAGAAAAGGAGGATGAAAAAAGGCTTAGGTCAGTGTCTGAATGCAGAGAGTTATGGGTTTGGGAGGAGGCAATGTCTGGCTGCATTTCGGCGTGTCTACATTTCTGGCAGTGAACACGTACGCAAGGAGCTGAAAACACTGACATAGATGTTTGTCATAGCACATAACAGTTGGAACAAAGATGTATCTGATAAACACCATGAAATGATATTGCACTTATTTATTAAATAAAATGCACATTTTGGAGCAGTGTGTTAAGAGTCATTTACTCCAATGATCCTATGTAGATTCAAACTCAGTAGGGTAACAAAGGAACCAAATATGAGTATCCACAGCTATTGTTTATTGGAAAATAATAAACATCTTCAGTCAAGCATGCTCTGTATGGCATTCATACCTATATGCATATCTGCACACCAAACACACAGTTATAGTCATCATGGATGTTCACCATGATGCATCTTCCTTATATCTATACTGAATGAAACTATCCGTTTTAAGAGGGACTTTCTTTATTGTCATATAGATCATTAGCATCTATAACACTTATTACTGGAGGAATGAAGCAGAAGTGCAGCAAACATATTAAAAGTTGTACCTCTGTGATGGCTATATCTGCGCACACACTCACACACACGCTCACATCAGAAAACACTCGCTCAGTTACTGCTTTGTACTTCCAGCATCCCAACCGGCCTCGTGGTTTTGGTCCCAGGAAAACAATCTGCAGTCCTGGTCCATGACACCAACGGTATCTGTTGTTATGTGGAGTATAGTGAGCACTGTCTTATATCACGTCTTGTTCAGGTCTCAGGTCTGCTTTTTAGCTGTAGTTCAGAGCTGATTGAGACCTCGGCGGGGTCAGTAGGGGGAGAACAGAACCGGTGTGTGTGCCGAACAGATGGGTCCAGGGGCCGGTTGCAGCAGCGCCTGGGGAAGGGGCTGACTCGGAAACAGGGCGGGGCTGGAGTTTGAGGCAGGGCGGAGAGAGAAGGAGGGCAGTGTTGCCATGGCAGCTGCAACGGAGAGTTGACGCTGCAGGAGACACGAGGCCAGAGGTTTGGTGAGGTCTTGGTTCTTCTGTAGAGCCAGACGAATCTGAAGAGAGAAAACAATTGCAATCAGGGGGTTTTGTTGCTGTTGTTGTTGAGCAGTTTAAGTAGGAAACCAGAGAAGGAGATAAAGTCTTAGTAGCTGCTTGGCCACGCTATCCCAGTTACTGCCAAACAATCTTATCATAAATCTGCCCTCCTTTCTAATGTAATTTGCCCTCTCCCTCTTACAACAACATCCTAGGATTTAAAACATTTCAGACATGAGATTCTCCAACCCGTATCGTTGACGATTTGTCTCACTGGAAGTAGGGAGTGGAGCTTTCTGGAAGAAGATTTAGAGAGCTAACTCATCTACACAAACACAATAATGAGGGATGAAAGTAAATTAAGCAACAGTACTTACTGCCTGGAAACTCTGGTGACGCTGGGTGGGAGTGTAGGGGCTGAACTTTGGCTTGGCTGGTTTACCTGCTGCTCTATCCTTGTGTCTCCGACTGCTGATGTGCTGCAGGGGAGGAGAGAAACTAATAAACACACAGAAAATAATGAAGCCAGACGTAAGCAGCACAAAACCTTTTGTTTGGAAATTTGAATAATCAGCAAAGAGGAAATTAAAGCAAGCCTAATCAAAGTTCCTATTTTGACAATTCCGGCTGAATGTTGATAATTTGTTGGCTCCGACTTTGAGATTCAAAATATTCATGAGGGGTTGGTTTGGAAATCTTTTTGATTTGATTGACAGTCACAAACAGATGGCTACGGCCAGCACGGCACACAGTCAGCGGTGAACTGCTAAATATTCAGGAGCACCTGTCCAAAGTTAACTTTTAAACAGTCAGTTATGAAGACCAATGCTGTGCATTAATATCATGAACTGAGATGCTAACTCCGTACTCAGATGCTCACTGAAATAGACTCGGCTAAGTAGCTTTGTGCTCATTACCTCGAGGGATCTGTGATTTTAACTCACCTGCAGCGACAGGTGTGAGATGTTCACGCTGTGATTTGGAATAAGATATGCATGGTCCTGAGTGGCTCTTTCTGTAAAGCATTATGGGTAGAGCGATGATGGCTCTGTCGATGCCTTTGACCAGCTCCCCTCTGTGACAGCTGACCTTTTCATAGCTTCACATTCTAACCACACTAACCAGTAACAAATGTGATCAGTTTGTTTCAAAAAGAGGTAAAATTATCCAGTAAGCAAGATTAGCACAGTCCAAAAAAATAAATATAAATTTGTGTACCAGAGCTTTGTTTTCTCTTCTTTCCTCTCCCATTAATCATCTCATGACCCCTCAGATTTATCTTGTGATACTTTGGGGGCGAACCGACCCGTAGTTTGGGAACAAATGGACAAAACTACCATTGTTATTAGGTAGATAAAATGATCACCTCCACACACTAACATCTATCTCCTGCTAGTATATTCATATATATATATAATTTTTTTTTATATATATATATCCCTGTACATATGCAAATTATTCTGCACTTCTCTGCTTTGCACTTCTGGTTAGATGCTTGACTGCATTTTGTTGTCTAATACTAGTACTTTGTGTAATGACAATAAAGTTGAATCTTGTTTTTGTCTTCAATCTCACCTAAATTACACAATCAACAAAGCCTTTTCTCCTCAGGGAGACTATTACACAGTGTGTTTCTATATTGTACTAATGGTGCACCTGAATGGCTCTACACTGTAGCTCCTTTTCATCAGAACATGTTCGGAATTTCCATTTATGCCGAACATCAACAGACTTATACACGAGGAACAATTTGCACAAAATTTAGAAAAATCAAGAATTACGATTTTTCCTCAGTAACCCAGGGGCGTCAGTGCCAAATATCGCAGTCTGACGTCTGACATTTGGGGATTCCCATCACATATCTCCACTGATGCCTAAAATTGGTCTGAATTAAACTAAAAGCCTTGCACTGGACTGTTTCTGAGACATTTTCTACAACTAACCTGTTTGAGTTGAGTCTCTGAGTTCACATGCACATCGCAGATCTCACAATGGAAAGTTTTGTTCTGGAGCCCAGTTGACAGCTCCGACGGCGCTACCAACTTGGCCTTGACCCCCGTCCTCGGGAAAGACTTGATGGCTCCATCACCGCTTCTCGCCTCCAGCATCGTCTTGTGCTTGGTGCCTGAGCGGATAGAAAGTCAAGTCAGCAGAGTATCAAACACAGTACGAACAGGCTAAGCTTGCGACACGCAGTTCACAGCTCACCACTGTTGTGGGCCTGCAGCTGGGAGGCAGAGTTCACGGCCACCTTGCAAAGGGAGCAGTAGAGAAGACGTATTGCTTTCTCTTCCTCTGTTTCGCCGTCTGGAGCCACATCCAACTCTCCGTCTCTTGGTGTCTCTTTCTCTGGTGTCCTCGGGCTGGGTGAGAGGGAGGCGTCGGAGGGTGCTTTCACAGTTTCAGAGGGACCGCTGCTCGATGGTGCCGCCTCTGAGGTAGGGTTTGGGGCCGAGGGTTCTGAAGAAGTAGAATGATGCTACGTTAATGAGCCAGCCTAAGTAGTGTGAGAGAGTCAGGCGATTAGGAGACAAACACATTTTTCCACCTTACTACTTACAATAAAACAATTTTGTGACATAGACAGAGATAAAAATTCACCAGGCTACAGGTGATTATGAGCTCTATCAACCTCTCTAATTGCACTAATAATCAATGATTTCCCATAGGATCTGCCTCCCAGCACTTAAACGAACAGTTCTGTACAGAGATGATTTGCCTCTGTTAGCTTTTGTGCGACTGACTCGAAGAGGTTCCCCGGAGGAGCGTGTACAGATTTACAGATTCACTCTTCGCTAATAACAATGATTAGCTCTGCCTAGCTGAGTGGGTGTCTGTTTGTTACCATTGATTCCCCACTCTTAGAGGCCAGTGAGGCTGTTTGCTGAAGTAATCTTCAGAGAGCTCTCCTGCCGTCTCATCCACTTCACTCAAACTAACTCCAAACTGGAAATAATCACTCATTCTTACAAACAACTCTCATATCGGAAACGTCAAGTACAATTTTTCAATCTTGTTGCTTTTTAGCTTGCAGCGATGTATTATTTTCATTCCTCGCCGCCCACACACATGCAAAAGTAGCACATCAGGACTGGCACACATATAAACACATGTATACACACTATACAGTTACCCACGGATCATATTTAAAGCATTTTCTTTGTGTTTTTGATCTCAGGAGGCTGCTGAGGAGGTCAGGAGATGTAGACATGAAGAAGGAGCAGAGAGTAATGCTCAACCTTTAATCTCTTTACTGTGAAACCCAAAGCAGTAGGAGGTTTATCACATCAAAGAGTTAAAGTCGTGACTGGGAAAAGTAGGTTTGAGCCGTACATTCATATATCTTACGCTGTCATACATTTGATGTCTAAACACACACACGCACACACATACACAGGGGAAGTATGCGTGCCTGCAGAGACACACACCTCCTGATGTTGTGTCATAGCTGGAGGGCTGTGAGCAGGGTGACAAGAGGATTTGCGATGTTGTTTCCTTGGAGACCAGTTCGGAGGTCCTGATCTTTGAATCTGGGGCGTCCAGAGCTTTCAGCCTTTTCGCGTGTTTGGTGCCGCTATAATGGGAAGAAGCCTGCGCCTGTGTACACAGTAGCAAACAAGAAGGTATGAGCTTAGACAGTTACATAGTTTGGACACAATTATTATATGTGAACCTGACAATGTTTGGATTTTAAGCCACAATACTCGCAAATAAATAAAAATGCTGATGTTTTAATATATAGACTAAGCCTGGCAACAAGTAAATTTAAAGTCTGTAACGTTCCTGATGAAAATGCTGCATGCATCCTTTGTTTTATATTTTCTGTATACAGTATATTTTCTGATTCCTTTGCTACACATTGCATTGCAGTTCAGCACAAAACGGTTCTTGTTTATGAGTCATTCTGTCATAAGCACAATTAAAAAATCAATGCTCTACAAAGGTCAAATATCAGAGGTGTGCACATTTTACTCAATTATTAAATGAGGCAGCTGTAAACCCTCTGAACCAGTAAACCAACCAAATAAGGGCAGGTCTCTTCAGCCTGTTCAACTGTCACGTAAGGGTGTGTGTGAGAAATAAAAGCACCCTGAAAGAAAAACAATTAAAAGTGTGTCTTTCCCACAGGACAACACCCACCTCAGAGTTGAACCGCAGTCGACAGACTCCGCAGGAGCTGGCCTTTCTCTTCAGCGGCGAGATTAGCCCGAAGCTTGGGCCAATCAGAGCTTTATGGACGTGATCCATCTGAAACAAAGGAGTGGGGTAGCGCGAAGGTCACGACTGGTTAAGGGTTGTGAAAGACAAGACTGAGTAGGTAGTGAAAGTGATCACCTGAGGTGTAAATGACACGCTGTCTGCAAAGTAATATGCTGCTCTCAGGAAACCACAGATTTATAATATCTCAGGTTAGAGGTGGGGGTAGTCTGTCTGGCACCCAGTCATGCATGAAGACAACACACACACGTTCACACATCATCACTTTATCTTCCACAAAAAAACATGCTACTACGTGAATCTAGTGTGACCACCATGAATCCCACCTGACCACAGCCTCCGCTCTCCAAGATGGAGCAAACTATAAACCTTTTACAGCCACCTTTCAAACCAACAGGGGGTGAGAGCTTCACACTGAAAACCTCACCTCACCCAGACTCCATGACACAGATCCTCCTGCTGATGGTAGCAGGAGGCAATTTGAAATCATGTGTTGTGTTGTGTTGTGTTGTGTTGTGTTGTGTCGTGTTGTGTCGTGTTGTCCTGTAACATGAACACACAAAAAAACAACTAAAAAGAAACTTAGAAAGGACATTTTACCCCAAGACTGGGTTTATTTATTCGTATAAGGAACAGGCGGTAAACCTCCCCCATGTCTTTGCATGTTTGTGTGTACGTGTGCACAATAACTATACCAGTATCTGACCACACAGTGATGTGCACCTCTGGACATTACCTACTGGAATGTTTAATGAGCACATATGCTCAGCGCAATAAAACCCAACTGGGCTTTGTGGAGCAAAACAAACCTATTACCAGTGATGAAATGTAGGGAGCCATATAACTAGCCACAACCAGGGAGGCTTTATGGAAATCTGACTGGAGGTGACGTAAAACTTTATGAGTTATTATGGGTCAGCCAACTAGTTCTGTAAGCCCTGGGAACATATAGCACTGCACTGGAGAGATGAAGAGATGAATTATTTTCTCCTCAGACGTTCCGAACACGACAGAATCTGTTTGTAAGTGAGTGAGTGTGTGTGTGGGTGCCTGAGTATGTGTATGTGTATGCGTGTGTGTGTGTGTGTGTGTGTGTGTTTTTTTTCTTTGATCATCACTCCAGGCGGCTCCACTGGAATGCATCTCTGCAGTCATTGGTCTCTTATCTCTCCCTGTTTCCCTGCAGCTGTTTGCTGCATAAACCCAAGCAAACACATATAAAAACAAATATAGTTCCTTCATCTATATTCAAAATACAAATAATAAAACTACAAAAATTAAGAGATCATTAACTTGACGTCTGCAATAACCGTAAAAATGTGTAATGTAACAAATCAATAACAACATGGCCACATTAATGTTAAAACATTTATGAGAATGTGAGCATGGTTTTTATGTTTCTCTGAATGAACATTTTAAAGTCTGTAAAAGCCCGTCTCCCTCCTTCCTCAGCCCCAAGGCTCCTGCATCACCATCTGACCTCCCATCACACATTCCTCACTTCACCCCTCCATCTGCTCCCCTCTGAACTCTCTCCATCTGATCAAAGTCACCTTCCTGCCTCCCACTGGACTCACCCTCTTACCCCTTCACTCCTGTTCCGTGCTCTGGGGTGAACTAGCACCTGTGGCAAAGTCATTTTGCTCTTCTTACTCATTGCCTCTTTCTTTCTTTCGTCTGCACACACCCACACTACACATTACCTGCTGAATCGAATCTGTCTCCTTCAACCTTATCCACTGCTGCCTCTACCCATGCTGCTTATTATGACATTACAAGTAATAAAAGCAGTAAATTCAGTGGATACAGTAAATAAAGACATGACATTCACCACATAGCTTCAGTATTAATCAGCACATTCTCTCTCACCTCCTCACACTCAGCAGTGGCGGCGTGTCAGATACACTCAGCTTCATGGAGTGAGTTATGGCTGAAACATATGGCCAAGTGAAATGAAGCAGACTTTTACCTGGAGTGCAGTCAAGAGCCCCAACATTTATAATGATGAATGTTCCTGGATTTACATTGTGTACCAGCATGACAGCTATGTGTGAGTGCATGACGTCGAGGACCTAAAATAAGGGGGGGTGGGCTATGATGAATGAGCTGCTGCTTTTGGATCTTTGTCATTTAAATTATTATTTGCTTGGCAACAAAAGCACTGTATTGTTTTCATTAAAAAAAAGAGCTTCAAGCCAAAACTAGCCAGTGAAGTCCCCGGCTCACGACAAACATCCACACACACACACGTGTGACGACCCTGTAGCCATGACAACCCACATGTGGGCAGCAAACAAACACTTTACAGAGCCCGGCACACAGATCATCTACATTCACAAGAAAATGCAGGCTTATACACACACACACACACACAGACAGACAGACAGACACGCAACAAACCCACACATAAAACACACATTCCAGGAGGAAAGGCAGGCAGCTAGAGTTCAGCTGCCCACTTATTTTACACCCACAGGTTCAAATCAGAGGAGAGAGAAGATTCCCTTTACACTTTGGTGAGCTTTCCAGTTTGCAGACAAATTGTTGGATAATTGAGACAAAACTTCATGATGTCCCTTTCCGTTCCTGCTTTGGTTATTTTCCATATTAAATGCAACCATAGGTTTCTGTTGAACGATATTTAAAACAAAACCTCAGAAACAACTGAAAATTTACAGAACTTACAGAAACTTAGAGAAAATTAATCAGACTACTTTGATAGTCGATTATTCCAGTAATTTCTTTTAAAGCAAAAAATGCCAAAAATTCTCTGCCTCCACTGCCTCCAGTAGGAAGATTTACTGCTTTTTTTGTCCTACTTGGCAATAAACCGAATATTTGGGCGCTTTGGACTCACTGGGTATGTTATGTTAGGCTCTGGGAAATCATATATATTAAAATAGACATTTTATAGACAAAAAGTTTATTTGAGTCCTAAGTCTGTAGAGGCGGCAGAAGGTGCTTTCGATATCCATGTTGCATTTTTATTTCAGGCATGTAGCCAATGCTCCTTTCCAGCATCATTGTAGAAAAAAGAATTAAAAGCCATAAATCTCCATAATTACACCCAGCCAATAGCGAGCGTTGTAAAGGTCAGTGACTTTTTACAGGACTGGCAATATTCTTGCAACTGCAGAGTGGGAGAAGTGTTAGAAATGGAATAAAATGAAAGAAAGAAGAGAGTTATAAATAGGTGAGAGGGTATGTGACTCAGCAGTGAGAAGGTGATGTGAGATACTCAAAGAAATCTTACAACCTGTGGTAAATTATGAGTGAGACAGCTTTTCTGACTTGAGTGGGAAGGTCGTTCACCACGAGCAAGCCAAGAGGAAAGTGATGCATTCTGATTTTGATTATTTGTGGTAAAAGATGGAGAGATAAAAAAAAGAAAGAGAGGGAGAGAGGAGGGTTGGTGGACAAAGTGGTGCAGAGAAGGGAAAAAAGCTCACAAGAGGGGTGAGGGATGGGGAGGATGACAGCAGGAGACAAAGTGGAAAATACGAGAGAGTAGAGTTGAAGTGACGAGGGCGATGGAGCAAGAGCGGCGCAGGAAAGTGGAAGAGATGGATGAGAAGACTGAAGAGAGGAGACCCAGAACTATGTCTGATTTCTCCTCATGTGGCAGGTTGGCTTTTTGACAGAGAGGGAGAGCTTAAACACACACATACACCACACACACACACACACACAGAATACATTTACTTCACTGAACACTAACAGTGCAGCAAAAGCAGACACGCAATGCTCTCTTTCTTTTAAACACTCAATTTATCTCCCATCTAAGAGCGCATTACAGTTTAGAGATGGGTGCTTCGTTTCAAGTTGAGGTTTTGTAATTGGTTCGGTATTGGCGGGAGTGTAAGAGCAAAAAAAAAAAAAAACCCACATCATGTTTTCTTGGCTTCATTTCATTGTGCTTGTGCTTGTGTTTTTTACAGCCGGTAAATACATCTCAGCTTTGTAGTCGAGCTTCATTATTCATGCTACATTGATCCAGGCAGGAAAAATGATTTCATACATCATACAGCTAGGGAGTATATTAAGACATACAGCACGATTCCCCTGTAAACCAGACGTCAGCGTCAGCCCTGCCTGACACAATAACTCTCTTTGGGGTTTGGTCTTGGCCAGCGTTAGTTCTCTCCACCTTCACCCTTCCCAAACACCGGGGCAGACAAAACGCTGCGTGAGGAATACCAAGGAATCAGCTCCACCAACCCCCCACCCTCCTCAGGTTGTGTGGAAATGTCACGGCTCTCTGCATCAGAGGTGGTATATTTGGAAAGGTGTGGGCAGCTCGCTCATGCATCTGTGTCTTTTAAAAAAATAAACTCCACGCACACAGACTACTCCATGAAATCAACTCCTCCACTTGCAGCAGAAATGCAGGATGATAATGTGAACAACTGAGGGTTTTTTTGGTTATTTGAAAAGAGGTAGAAGCGTACAGTTGGTGTGAGAGCGTGATTTCCATGACAACCACGATGACTGACAGTACTCACGTCAGTGAATCCAGGCAGCAGGTGGAAGGGGAGGAGGGGCTTTGCGTCCGGGGAGGGCTGCGTCCTGCCCAGCATGGGACGAGCCAGCGGCGGCAGAACACTGTGACAGACATTACCTAGGAGACAGCACGGCGGGGAGGAGACAGGTAGAAAGATAAACATATGGAGGAATGACTCATTTGAGATGAGGTGATTCCTATTAGAAGTAATAATATGGTGATGGTGAAAGCTAATACACCAGAGAAAACTAGATGAAGACGTTCTGTGCTCCAAAGTTTTTGTGCTCAAAAACTTGTCTGTTTGTTGAAGATTGTCAGAACAAAGAAACATTTCCTCCAGTTTTTTCCCCTTATTTTCCCTGCAACTTTATTACGTAGGATTCTTTTAATGCCATCAGTTTTGTGTCAGAAGCTATTGTTAAATGCCAGTGTTGATTAGTGTTCTTTGTACTTTTTTTGTATAAAAAAATTAACAAAATTTGGTGTCATGAATTGACAAAACATATTCTGGAGCCTATTAGACAAATAAGAAATGAAATAAAGTACAGCTTCACTCAGATTAAACTTTATCTTACATTCTTTGCAGATAGAGATCGTACATACAAAACATCTGATGATTTTATAAAACATGATACACTGTTATATATTTAACAAGTAAAAGCTGCTGACACATAAATCCAGAAATAAAATCCGAAATAATATTCCGATAATATGATATATATTCTGCACAGGCTGATCTTTTCCTACTTTTTATATTTAAGTGATAATAATTCTGTACATTTACATAAGTCAAGTATGCTCCTCCACCACTGATGATAATTGCATCAACGTGTAGAATTACTATTTGATTCTTTCGACATCTTGTTAAGATTTATAAAATCAGAACTAATTAGGGCTGCAAATCATGATTATTGTCATTATTAATTAATATGCCAATCACCTAATTGTCTATAAAATACCACAAAACAGTGAAGAAATATTCCCAGTTTCCAAGGTGATGTCATCAAATGTCTTGCTTTCATATATATATATACTATTATATAGAACTAAGAAAACTAGCAAATATTCACATTTGAGAAGCTGGAACCAGTAGATGTTTGGCATATTTGCTTTAAAAATGACTTCAGTCATTAATGAACTGTCGAAATCGTTCTGCCTGGTTAATTTTCTGACTAATTGATTCATTAACTCATCAGTTCAGCTGTAGAACACTGAATGGACACACTTAAAAGCTTATCATACTTGATATGTGGCTTTCTTTAAATATAGGACCATCAGGCTGTGTCAGGTCTACTCATCGTGCCAAATGGGCTTTTACACACACAGATACAGACACACAGACACAGACAAAGACAGGGGGACACTGAAGATCAATCAGATACTCTACACAGGTGCAGAACCACAGCTATGGGCAGGGTGTATGCACACACGCACACACACACAAACAATCACCCACATTACAAAACACATTATTATATCAAAATTAAACTCACACACTTGCACCATGACACGCACACACATTCCTGGTTCAATGAGGCCGTTACTAAAAGTGCTGTGTGATAAGCGTCTTGTTTGTGCTGCTGACTTTTGATTATGGAAGCTTGTTTGCTAGTTTGCATGTTCTCTGAGCTTGATTACAGTTTGATTCAGGACCAGCCTGCATGTGTAATCATCATAATCAAAATCACAACACACCCATCCGCTCTGCCATTACTCTGATTGCCTTTAACTAGCTTAAGTCATGTGTGTACGTGTGTGTGTGCGCGCACAATGTTAAGTGTATTTGACCTCAGTATTTTCCTTTTGAATGCAGGGCTGCCCTGGATACATGCACACGCAGAATAGTTTAGGTGCACAAGTGTATTACAATTTGTTGTACGATTGTTTGCATACATTTTTCAATACTGAGTCGACACTAACTGCATTCAGTAACCACACCTTTCAAAATTCACAAGTTGTTTTCTCACCCAAACTCAACCACCACTAAAACTGTGTATTTACACTGCATTTTGCATTTTTACACACTATTGTTAAAACTGTTGAACCTGATACAAAATTACTGTAGATTAGTAGGCAGTGTGCTACATCTAAAACCAACCCAGATTATGCTTTTCAATTTCATGCCATGTATGTAGGTACTGTAAAAGGGCAAATCTTTGGAATGAGTTTCCAGTACACACACAGCCAGCAGAGAGACCCCACAGGAATTATTTTTTTACTCATAGAGGTGGAAAGTTCCTAACCATCTTTCACATCATTAGAAGTCCCTGTTGGACACAGTGAATGCTGGATTTCTGGACATATCTGCAGAAGATTGCCAGGGATGGAATGGAAAAAGATTATTTCCCCAGAGAGGAGATAAGGTGTGATGTGGATGAGAAGACAGGGTTGACTAGATGTATTTCTATATCCTTGACATGTATGTAGTGAATATATATAGTTTTGTTTATTCAATTACTGACTTGATGCAAAAATGATCCATGTGATTGAGGATATTTTAAACCTGCAACAAGCTCAGCTGCTGCTGACTTGGTCAAATCTGCAGAGCTGAAAAGAAAACAATCTTAAGCACACAGGCTGAACACACCACTTACTTTGTGGTATTTTATTCAACGTGCTATTAATGATGCGTCATGTTTCAGATCGTCTGTCTCATCTGTCAGCAGCTGTCTGTATTTTCTCTGCACAGACTTCTTTTTTATCCCCTTGCCTCCACAAGCAGATAGCGGGCTAGCTGCGGCTCTGTGGGCGCAACAGGACACCGAGGGCTCTGTTGTCGTGAACCCCGCGCAGATCACAGTCAGGTGCGTCCTGCCCTGGTGCGTAAGGAGTGTGCCAAACGCACTTTTGGTAATTTCTTGGCCAGACTCGCCTGTGGAGCACTTTGACACAGAGTGGGACCAGAATGCCTTATCATAAACTATATATTTGTGTGTTAGAGGCTAGGATCATCATGACCAATCACATTCACTATCGCTCTCTCTGACAGTTTGGGAATCTTGTTTGAGAGTTTTGCTCAGAGCAGACTTCTTGTTGTCTGGGACCTGCAGAGTTTTACATGAATACAGCAGCTGAAATATACGACCGAGAGCAGATGATGTCTCTTTTTAGTTGAATTAACTTTTCAGGGCCTGTTAATGATTCTAAGGTCATCGTGATGTCTGTGCGTAACAGTCCGCGATTTGTCATCACAATGATCCACACAATTCGGTTAATTCAACGTGTTGCATGTTTTTCTGCTGAAATTATTTTAGACCCAGTTAGATTTTACTCTTTTACACGCTAAACTAATTCACAACCCCACAATCTTGGAACAAATAAATTGCCTTTTTTATCTGTAAATAAACTTGGATTTTTAAAATAACACTGAAATGACGCATATTCTGGGTGGAGACCTCTCAGGAGAAGTGACAGAACTTAAGGGAGTTGTTATAGTTTTAAGTGATCCACAATGGATCTGTGTGAACTGTTTTCAACGTGTCAGTATCCAACACGCCTGAATCTGTAGAAGTATTAACCATAACCGACCAGTTTGACGTGCACAGCAGCACAGTGGTTATTTCGCAACAGTCTGTTGCTTGATTGTTGCACTAAATGTAATCAGCGGATCTAGTGACAATGCGCAGAATCACTCCAGTCAGACGGCAGTAGGAATCACTCATCTTTATTCTGTCTAGCTGTCATTAATGGCTTTATAATATTTTGTGTGTGTGTGTGTGTTACGTGCCAGCTGGTTGGGGATTGTAAAGTGAAAGAGGGTAGACTAACGGAACATGAAGGGCTTTGCCTGATTTTAGTTGAGTTTATGTACCCTAGGTGTGACTTCACCAAATATTATGGAGGGCAGCTCTTGATATCGCCACACCCTCCCCCGCGCCGCTCCTCCCACCGGGAGACTCAGCGCCGGTTCGCCGGTGCGCGGCGGCGGCAAAGAGAGTCCGTTCAACAAAATAAAAGCATCAGCTGTGTCTTCTTTTTCCATATAGCCAACTGTGCGGCATTCATTTGCTATAATCATATTATTTACCAACTCCTCTGAACTTTCAGCTGAGGTTAAGGTTTATTAATCCTTCAAACTGACTATATATTTCATAATTGAACCACAACAGGATAATGCAACAAGCAAAACTGTTAAATTTGTTGTTTAAAAAGGTAAAATAATATTTCCAGTGTGTTTTACTCTGGCCAGCAGAGGGGGCTGCCACCCCACAGCCCCCTATCCCCCCCGTGTCCATGCCCTTTTGTGAAATGACTGAAGAATTTAGGAGATACAAGAAACACGTGGACGAGATGACACACACACATACCTGAAATGTTAACTGGCCATCATGCAGTATCATTTCAATAACGTTATAAAGCAGTGATAATTGGTCTTAATTTATCCATTTAGTCTACAGTATTAGTTTATAAACCTGTAAGACATGTATACTGTGAGGAATTCAACAGTGGCTAAAAGCATGCGTGTATGAAACCACAGTAAAGTAAATAATCTTCTCTGTTTCTGTGAGCTATTCTACTATATCTGTATGTCAGCTCTCTTGTGATTGAACAATTCGCCCTTTGCGCTGCTGTTATGTTACATGAGGAGTAATGGAGAGTCAAGCGCGATTAAAAGACTCTTAATTAAACCACACAGACCATGATCTGGGCTTTTCATTTCCGAGAGACGCATTGGATAAGCTGCACTATCACTGCCTCCGCTGAGCAGGTGACCGACTTCAATAAAGCTCGAATCCAATTCAACATAGCAACAAGTGACTCCTCCGCCTTATTATCACCAACAACAACAACAACAACAAAAAACTCTTTTGAGATTAAAAGCATTTAATGCATCGCTTACATACCGAAATACATGGTGGCACCAAGTGAAATCCGATTGTTCAGTTAAAAGTCTCTTTCATCTCCAGGCAGAGATGAGGCTTTGCGTCTTCTCCTCCACAGTCTGTCTCTCCTCTCTATCTCTCTCCTGCGGCGCCGATGCTGCTCCTTCCCATCTGGATTCCCTCCTCCTCCCAACTACCCGCCCCCTCCTCCTCCTCCTCCTCCTCATCTCCCTCCTCCTCATCTCTTCACGATTCGTTTACAAGTCTGCCCCTGTATCTACATCTTCCAGAAAACCTGTTTTTAATTCAGTAAATAGACGGAAACGACCTTAATGAGTGTACAGTACCACCCTGGATTAGTGCAACCCTCAATGCCAACATACACAGAGCAGGAGGCACATTTGGGCTTGACGCTGTGTGTAACTCCAATGTAACACCACAAAACAGAAAGGAGGGGATCCTCATCTTTGTTAAATTTCTTATTCAGCTGTTTTGCTAATATCAAAGGCAATATGCAGAGAAGAGAATAAGGGGAAATCCTTCCCCCTCCAGGCCACAGTGTGACTCTTGTCTGCAGGCTTCCCTCCTGGGCTGCTGTCTTCTGAAGGAGCCCTGAGTTCCTCTTTTACGCTTCTGTAAACTGGTTTCCCGTCCTCACTTTTCTCTCGGGCCCGTGGTATTTTTAGATGCATCCTGGAGCTTTCAGCGTGCCCAGAGGAAACTACACACGACACACAGTCCAGCTGAAAACATCACAAACTGTCACGCAGGCTTATGCATATATGCATGCACTCACTCACACTGAAAAACAACTCCAGTATGTTCATGTCTGTCTTTTTGTCTTGCACACACACACACAGACACTCACACTCTCCTGTATCTCTTGGTAGTGACTTTGTTTCAACTTTCTTGTCCTTAAGCTTAAACATGCCCCCCCCCACTCTGTGTCAGGAACGTAGACAACAACATGTGTTTTCCCACAATCTCCAACTCCTGGGAGATTTAGCTCAGGAGGGCCATCATTTCAACAACTGCTGTTCCCAAAATGCACACACACTGTCTCCCTGTGCTCTTGTGCTTGAACTACCAAGTATTCTAATTAGTGGTGCACATAAAAAGGGAATATATTTCTAATTAGAAAGTGCAGCCCTCGCTACATGTGAAATGAATAAGGCCCCACTCAGGGTCATTCTGTAAAATGATTCAGTGGATCAAAATATTAAATGTTTCTTCAGGAATAGCCATCTTCATGATTGGGACATATCTCCTAGCTGAGCCATTTCATCTGGACTGTACCTCCACCCACAAGCAGCATGGAACAAAAGCTGAGGAGGAGAAAAATACACATATGGAAATATCTACTCATAAACGCAATTAAACGCCCCTTTTGTCACTTACTGTATTGCCAGACGTTTTGTTTTCCTCTGAGAAAGAGCAGAGCACTTTTAGGGGCTGGGTGGTATTATTGCCTTTTTCCCCCTCCCTTGGAAGAAGCGGCTGAAAAGTTTCTCGAGTCACACGTTATGGAACCACAGGTTTTCATACACTAGTTTTAGCCAGGTGTCGTCTTTTCCTCAAGCTGTGCCATTGAAGTGGTGGTGTGAAACTTTGTTCTGATGGGTGAAATGTTGGACCAGCTGTCAGAAAACGTCTGGTTCAGTGGATTTGTGGAAGGTGCAGCAACATGAAACCAATGACTGTGGATAAAATACGTTATTACGCTAATGTGACTGAAAAAAGTTGGCATTCACTGACTTAAACATGATCTGCCTCCCTGCTCTCCAGATGTCATCACTTAAGCACAAATATACACTCAGCAGAAACCTGAGATAATATGTTAATGACAACCCTGTTTTACACTGTTTCTGGTCTCAGGTTTCAGCTGAAAGCAGCACTCAAATAATAGCTGGCTGCTGCTTCACTTTACACCTGCAGCCGTTTAGCATCACAGACTCACAGACAAACACCGTGGCTGTCATGGCAACTGAGGTATGTAATATTATGTTAAGTGAACCGATGGCGAGGCTCTCGGCTCTGTTTGTCGCTGGCAACCTGATAAATTGTACACCGGAAAGGAATCTTGTGACCCCAGCTGGGCCTTGAATACGGACGGCCAAGCACAACAGGCTCCGTTATGAAATTAGAGGCTTTTAAAGAAGTTAATTGACTGTAGTACATAGGGAGGTGATACAGGCCCACAAATACACACACATACAGTGATGGAAACAGTTTTTGTCTGTTTTAATCTCATAACAAGCTGAGCTGAGACTAAACAGCTCAAGTCTTCAAGCAGGAGTGATAAACACACTCTTTAAGATTTTCTCTGCAATCACCTCCAGGCAGTAATCCACCTCGCAGCTCGTTTTCAGCTTTCTACCGACTGCGCATTTTGGGGAGTAGAGAGTCTGAGCACACAGCCACCCATCAGCTCACCTCTCCCTTTGATTGGTCGCCATAACAACATCACCATGGTAATCAGCGTGCATTGACTTTGATTCTATTTATGTGTTGATGTCGGCTGACGTGGAAATCTAGAATGTGTGTGTTCTCCGCTGACATGCGCTGACAGATGATGGAGGAATGCAGGCTGTCACATGCTCCTGTGTTTGGACTTTGTTTGCATGCACAGATGCAAGCACGTGCACACACATATACACCCACACACACGGCACATCACCTTATTCAACACAATGGTAACAAATAACGTTGGCTGTCAATAGCAGGTGTAATTTCAAGACTTCGGTATTTAAATATAATCTTTTAATATACCACACATATCATTGCTGTCCAATGAATATCCTGTATCTCTAAATTTGGCTGGGATCATGGATTGAATTAAAAAAACACTACTATCTGAAAAATCATTGTCACAAAGCTGCAGAGAATGTTTGTTTTTCTTATCTGTATATGAGTAATACCATAAACAGATAAATAAAAGACGAGAGTAAGTGTGTTTTTTGAGCTTTTGTGTGTGTGTGCGAATGGAAGTTTGCAGGGTCTTATGTCGGTCTCTGGTAATCACACATGTAAACAAACAAACAAACACAGGAAGAAAAAATAAACATTCTGCAAACACGCTGCAAAGCCCAAAACCAAGTCGGAAAAAGTCAGAGGAGCAGCAAGGCTACGGAGATGATTGATTTCATAAGTATGGGGTTTTAGACAAGAACATAAAGGTCACAATAATCCCCACAGAGATGTGATGCTGCAACTGTAGATTCTCTGGGGGACAAAATTCCCTGCAAAGTGCTGGAGGATAAGGTATTGTAAATGGGAGATAAACAGCTCCATGTTGGGGTCAGAGGTGCCGTACCACTCATCACTTTTAGCATATATGAATCCTGCTTTCAGACACACTTTTTACAGCCTACACATGTCTAGTAGCATGTGGGTAATAGCCACCACATGTATGTGCTAAATCCAAGTCTTTCCAACCACTGTGAGTGCTTTACCTTCAAGGCGAGGTCAGAAAGTGGTCTACGCACAGATCCAGGAGGAATTTGCGAGAATCTGCAAAGCGGTAGAAGAAAATCTACTACAACTTCCCTCATCCTGACTAAGAACAGAGAGCTTGTACTTTTTTAATTTCAGGATTTTTGCAAACATAACGCTTAGCTCTAGGCTCAGGACTGGGGGAGATTTACAGATATCATGACCAGGGTTTCAACCTGCGCAGCCTGTTCAGCTGGATTATTACACCAGATGCTTTTATTCAGCCCATAAAAATATCCTCATTCACAGGAAATAATTAAACATTTACTGCCCGGTGCAGAGCCTTCCCTATCGTATTTTCATAAGAGAAACTTAATAAAAGCATTTGTGGTCATTTCACTGTAGCAAAATGATCCGGTAGAGGAATCTTGCTTGGGGACACCACACACACCACAGTAAAGGCTCCTAATGCACATCTGTGAGCCAGAGATATCTGTCCAGAATGTCATTAACTACCACTGCTGTAGATTTATATTCTCCCAGTCGTGCCAGATGAGCCTGTATAATTACATCCATAGTCTGGAGATCATCTGCATACACACACCATCACTGACATAAAACCATAAAGTCTGTGAATGGATTTAATATTTGTGAGAAACGTGTAAATTAATTCCCTACTTCTTGGGAACGCTGATTAGCTTGTCAAGAGGGCATCAGAGGTTGCTGCCATGGCGACAACACTGCAGCGCCCCATGAGCTTAAACATTAATAGAATGAACAGTGGGATGAGATGGTAATATGAGTTGTACTGGAGTTATTAAGGAAATGAGAGAAGGACTAAATGCATTGCACTGCACAGTTCTGATGCTTTAAACTCAACTTACAGTGTCACCACTGCCATCTACAGGCCAAGACAAGACACAACACCTGCAACATAGCAAAACACTGTTCCCAACTGTTTTTGAGTGTGACCACTTAAAAAGAAGCAATGCCTTCTAGCATCCCCCAGTAGGGTCCATGTAGTAAGATGTGAGACCTTTTTTTCTTCCTTCTTTCATTTCATGAATCATTTTTGGAGATCTGAGGAAGTAAAACTACTACGTTTTCACAAGATCAAACAAAAAACAATGGTACATAATATTGTGTAGCAGACTTTCCGTTTTTCTTATTTTCTACATCCGTCATCATTTCGCAGCCTGTTGAGAACCACTGCTGTATACTGTCTGACTTTATATTATATCAAAAATATATGTTTTATTCAGAGACAAAGTACATTTACTAAGTAAAAGTACTGTGCTTAAGTATAATTTTGAGGTACTTCTACTACCTTGTACTTCTACTCAAGTATATTGTACTTTGTACTCCACTACATTTATTTGACATCTCTAGTTGCTGATTACCTTGCAGATCCAGATTTTAGATAAAATACGATTAACAATTACTGCTCATTTTTATAGATTAAACTACCTAGCAGCATATAAATTAGTTAAAATTTGCCTCATCTCGACCAGCATCAACATGCTTATATCAATACTGTAATATATACAATAGTATAATACTCAGAAATGTGTTCCGCATGACAGCTAATACTGATAATTATATTATAACTATATTTTGATGCTAAATCTTGTTAAGGGTTTACTGGTAATATAGTAGTATTGTTGGGATATCACTACTTTTACTTAAAGTATTTGAGTTATTTTGCCATCACTGTTTTTACTTGACTTCTGCCCTTTCTCTTATTCCCTCATCTAGTTTTGATAATATGTTTAATGCAGATTATAAATTCATGTCTTTGTGAGGTAATTACATGCAGCCAGAAAAACATAAATAATTTATTCCAAATAAATCCCAGTGCATTCCTTTATAAAAGTAAAACTCCACAACACAACATGATCAAGGGGGAAAAAAGCACAGCTATCTGTAGTATAAAAGCTCCCATTAGCCACCACAAGAAATATAGGGTATAAAATAGATATTCTCAATATTTGCATCTCTTAATCTGTTTTTTTTTTTTTTAGATTTATACTGTACAGCTTTTACATTTAAAGAGGTTTGTACATTGACTCCTCGAGTGTCAAGCAAGTACCTCGCTCTTTAAATTGGGTGTGAATGATGCCATGCATAAGCTTGAATGACAGCCAAGCGTGATGCTGGTTCAGCATTGACAGAGCAGATCTTTACAGGGCATCAGTCTGTTAGGAGCTCTTGCAGCAGGTCCTGCCCCCCTCCTGTGCCTCACTGGTGGGTCCGATGGGGCTGGACAGAGTCACAGCGCTGATGGAGCCACGGGTCACCTCTCTGCTGGCCACCTTCTTATGGATGGCTGGAGATAATAATGAATACACGTCAGTAGGTAATTCAAAGAACCCAGATTAACTGAGGGTCTTTGGACACATTGACTGAACTACCTGTGAGGACTTCATTGAAAGCAGCTTCTACATTGGTGGAGTCCAACGCTGATGTCTCCATATACATAAGACCTCTCTTCTCTGGGTTGGTCCGAGGTGTGAGAACAAGGAAGGCAAAGATCAAAATTCAAGGAGCAAAATGTACGGTACTGAGTATTAGATACACTTTTCATGATCACATGAGACCCAGTTATATAAAGAAGGGAATCATGACTTGACAACATTAAAAAAAAAAAGACAATAAAAACTTAACCGACCTGCAAAGTCCTTGGCCTCCTCTGTGGGCACGGTCCTGAGGGTCTCCAGGTCTCTCTTGTTTCCCACCAGCATGACCACGATGTGAGGGTCTGCATGGTCATACAGCTCCTTCAACCATCTCTCTGCGCTCTCATAGGTCAGGTGCTTGCTAATGTCGTAGACCAACAGTGCTCCAACTGCTCCCCTGTAATACCTGTAAGCCCACACAAACATGACTTGGATCTTCAATTCAAACAGGAAGCTGTTGTTGTAAAATGTGTGATGTGTGTGACGGATGTGTGACTGTTAATTAGCATGCACTGAAATCTGTTTTACTTAAACTGGCAACACGTAAGCCAGCACTGATGTGAGATTTCTCACCTCTTTTTTATGTGTCTATTGCTCATTTCATATACATACATATGTGTGTGTGTGAGTGTGTACTCACGCTGAGGTGATGGCCCTGTAGCGCTCCAGCCCAGCTGTGTCCCAGATTTGGGCTTTGATGGAGAAGTTATCCAGCTGAACAGTCCGGGTGCTGAATTCGACACCGATGGTGGTGCGACTGTCGTGATTGAACTCATTCTTAGTGAAGCGAGACAGAAGGTTGCTCTTGCCTACGCCAGACTCCCCTATCAAAACCACTTAACAAGCACAGATGGGAGTAGTCAAAATCTGTTCATTATAAATACTGTGATACAACATTAGAGCTTTTTACTGTTTTATGAACCTTTAAGTCAAATCTAAAACAGCTAATTTGTCAAAACTAAAACTTTCTGTAATGAATCAGATATCCTTTATCTCCTCTGACACGTGTAGACTTTCTGTCACCCTCACGAGATACCAGACACCATGACATCACACAAAAGTGGCAGATCTAACCTGTGGCTGACTTTACTTTGGCATGAATGGAATGGAAACACACGATGGAAAAGACACACCAACCACATAACAGTCCCTTTGCGAAGCAGGAAATGTAACATGACTTTTCTTCAACAGGTCAAAGGTCAAATGGTTTACAGCCAAATAGACAGAAACCGATCACTTCCTGCTTTCCTTCTCTCCCCTCTTCGGAAATGGGAGCAGGCAGTTACAACCAGTTGCACCTGACAGCTTGAACGTCTATAGAAGTCTCTCTTCTTACACAATCACAGCTTGAGTAAACATGACTCACCTTTGAAGACGAAATTATACGACTCGTCAGACCCCATGCTGCATTCAGTGGCGAAGGGTTGCTCTGTCACTTGGCAAATAAACTGAAGCCACTTTCAATATTAGTTAAAAAACAGGCAGAAAGAAAAACAAATACAGCCTCCGCTCCCCTTTCCCTCCTTCCAGTGTGGATAGGAAGAGAGTTCAGGTGAAAATGGAGGAGAAAAAGAGAACAGGCTCAGCTGCACCCACCCGCTTCCTTCTTCATCTGTGGATAGGGGTAACTCCTGATTGAGGAGAAGCTGACAGGCAGGAAGGGAGGGCAGGAGTCTTGTGGCCTGCCAATCCCTCATCAGCTGACACCCGAGGGGCGGCTGGGCTGTGGGTGGAGAGCAGGTGTAACAGGTAAAACCACTTCTTTCATCCTGAACAGACTCCACCCTCTGCTACGCTCTCCTTTTACTCTGTGACACAGTTCATTTGCATGACATTACAGCTCGCCTAATAGGTGGATCTGTGTACCAGAGCCTGACGCCATTTTGACACTTTTCTGATGCCTACAGGGATGTGGGTAGGAACTGTGATTTGGGCATGTTGGACTTCTATTCATGTTTTATTTTAATTGTGCATGTAATCATTTTAACGGCAAGACAGCCTATAAAATATGTTTATGGATATAATACAGTTGCAACCAGCAAATCCAGAGTTTAGGTTAACAGGGTAATATTGAAGGTTGTCATTATGTTGACAATTTTATATAAAATTGGATAATGCTTTATTATTATTTATAGGTCATTACATAATTACCTAATAATTTTCTAGAAAACGTTTGCTGAAAAGAAGTGTGCAATGTGATATTAACTGCAGTGAAGTTAGAGACATTTTCACAGTCAGTTGTTTGAGTTTAGTTGGTTGATTTCCAGAGGAATTCCCTTAAAGGATCAGTGAATAGAATTTAGTGACATCTAGCGTTGAACAGGGGCAGATCTAGAGAAATATTCATGGGGTGGCCAGAGGGTGGAATGGAGACTTAAAGGGATAGCAGAAATACATGCTGATTTAATCACAATCAATCAAACATATCAATATTTACTTGGAAATAAAGCCCCAAATAAATATATTTGAACTCAGAAACATTACATTATTGTGGCACAGTAGAAAAGCTTTGAAGAGAAATGTAGCAATAAATTGTTTTATTTCCAAATCTGCACTTTTTTCCACATACGTGTCTTTTTCCATTGAACCCTTCACTTTGTCTGAAATGTGCCCATAAAAGATAGTTAAATAATGTGTTAATTTTGTGTGTTAACATGTTATTTTTAAATTAATCTAAATGAGTTGTAAATGTGTTAAATCTAACAGCATTTGGCACCAAATTGGGGTGGCCAGGCAGTGAAGTTGCAGATTGTGTTTGGTTTGTCTGTTCTAAACTACTGTAGAAACATGGCAGTTCAACATGGCGTACTCCATGGAAGGCGACCTGCAGCATCTGTAGATATAAAGGATCATTCTCAGGTAACAAAAACACAACGATTAATATATTCAGGTGATTATACACTAATGAAAACATAACTATGAATATTCCATTTCAGCCAATAGAGTTTTCTAAATGTTACACACTGGGACTTTAAAGGGAGTAGTTGATTTAAACAAAACCATAATACTATAAATACTAATAATCTTTGTTGAATTTTATGTTTTCCTGTAGACACATTTTACATTTGCAAAAATCACAAACAATTATTGCCATTTACAATCTTTCCCAAAACTTGAAACTTAATGTTTCGTTACATATCAGTTCCTTTCTATGAAATTATAGGGGAACATGGTGTCATATGGTAAAATAAAGTGTTACCTATAATAACCCCATAATATGCAACATTTTCATATTAAACAAACACAAGCAGAGCACATATTTAATCACTTTATATAAACTTCAAGGCCAGAAAACAGAATAAAATGGAAAGCAACAGCTGTGATCTTGCACCATCCCGAGGCTATAATCAACTGACACAGGGCATAGTATGTTTTTGACCATGTTTTATTTTTTTAGTACAGTACTGTTAAAAGTTAGTTTCAACATGTTCAATTGGGAGATGAATTTATTTATTTTTTCAGCTGAGGTCAACAGACAAAGCAGCTATAGAAGCAGTTGCCAAGGTTACCACAACTACAATGCTGAGATTCTCAAAAGGAAAAAATTAAATAAAATAAGACAATCTAGAACTTGATTTTAGAAACGTATGGTGCCACCATACCAGAGTTGTTTGTAAAGCCTTTCCATTTTTTATTTATTTTTAACTCACTTGATTTCCACATTTATTTTATGCGAGACAAATCATAATTATCTCTAGGTACTAACTGCACCTCAAAAAAAAAGAAAAAAAGAAAAATAGAATAAAAAGAAGAATCAGATTAAAATGAAAGAAAAGCTTGTTTGTTTCATTCATATTCATTCGAACAGCGTCCCCTGCTTCGGAGCTGCTACAATGTGATATTTGATTATGGTAACAGTTCTGGATGATGCTGTGTGGAATTTACTGGGGGTTTTCTAATTAACCGACCGAGTGCGGGGGGAGGGGGGGTGTAATTTGCCGACAATGCTCTTCTAGGGCAGGGAAGGACCGAAGGCACAGCAGTGGTGCCTCAGAAGGAAAAGACACTGAGCACCCGTGAGTGGGCACTTTTATCTGGAATGACAAATTACAAGTTTAGGGAAGTGTGGAGGGCGTCTTTTTCTTAAGCACTTGCAATAAATAGTGAAAGTTGTTGGGAAAAAAATGCTATTTATGTAGAATGTAGAGAATGGGGGAAGGAAAAAGGAATGAAGAGGTTGAATGTCTGAATGGACAAGATATCGTCCTGTTGTGGCTTCAGGATTGCTGTCTGTTTATCAGAAATATTTCATGTATTGATTTGCCAGTTAAATGCTAACAAACTTCCTCACACAGGCCATGTATGAAACAGAGCCAACAGCCAATCACATCACATGGGTTTAATCTGTATTATGTAAATGTTTGTCTGCAACACTCGACTCCAGTATTGTGTGAAGAGAACAATGAATGTAGAAATGGTTGGGAATCCCTTTTCAGGAGAGGTTTTCGCTCCTTTTCTCTGCACCAGAACACCCCCTCAAGGTGAGAGTGGTTCAGTCCGGCTCTACAGCAGCACTCTGAGACAGAGATCTGGTTGGATGACGCCAAAAAGAGAAAATATGGGGGCTAGGGAATGATCTGAGAACAGATGTAGAATGAGGGTCTTACAGATCCTGCCCAAGTTTCTTCTGTAAAGTTTGGGACAATACACTTAAATTTCTCTTGGTTCTCTGTAGATGCTGGGTGTGTTTATGAGTCAGGTATGTATGTATGCACGTGTCTGGGTGTCAGTATGTACTGTATGTCTTTACGAGGGCTGTGAGCCCAGCAGTCTCTCGATAGCGGCGTTGATGTCTCCTCCAGTAGCGATGAGGGCCTGCAGGTTGGCCTCGCGGTTGATGAAACCCATGGCGCTCAGCTGGTCCAGCTGTGACTGGAACCGCACCTCTGGGGTCTGGGTCTACAGGGGGGAAATTAGTTTTAAAGATCTTTTTTTAAATCATTCAGGTGTGGGGAATGTAATCAGTGCATGCGTATATGTGTGTACCGTTGCACTTCCTCCTCCACCACCTCCCCCTCCAGCAAACATCTGGAGCATCTGTTGCATCAGCTGCTGCTGGGCAGTGTTCGTTCCTGCACTGCTCGGTGAGGAGGCCGGGTTCTCTGTGGGCATGCCCCCTCCTGTGGGTATGCCAGGAACTACACCTGTGGGTATGCCAGGAACTCCGCCTGTGGGTATGCCAGGAACTCCACCTGTCATCAAACTAGGCCAAAAGAATAAAGAAAAACAGTTGAGAGAAATAATTTCTTCAAAAAAATGCAATATGTGTATGTCTGTCTGTGAGCGCATACCTGGGCATGAGGCCTGGTGCTTCTGTCTGCAGAGTCTGTAGACCCTGCTGGATCTGCATTAGGGCTTGCATGGCCCGGGGATTGGTCATCACTGACAGGGCTTCTGGGTTCTGCATCTGAAACAGACAGTGTAGCAATGAATTAACTAATCGATCAACCAATTAATAGTCCATATACTGTTCCTTAGTTTTTGTTAAGTCTTTCTAATAAACAAAACCTAAGTCACGCACTCGCCAAATGTCTGGAATTGTGACTTAGAATTCATGAGAAAATGTAAAAAGACATCCAAATTAGTAGCTAAACAATGTATAGCAGATATATTTGATCCTAGAGACAAATATGTCCAGCATGTGCAGATAAATATTTGCGCTTTCACAAAACGTGGATCTGCTGTGGGCCACTCAGGGCTGTTCTTTGTTATGCCACTAGGAATGTCTTTCTGTCTTAATGTAGAAGAAAAACTTTATAATCCAGGACTGAGTTATTGGACTGAAATGTGTGTGGTACCTGCTGCAGAAAGATGGGCAACTGAGATCTGAACTGTTCCTGCAGCTGTGGGTTTCCAGCAAACAAGGGGTTATTCATCAAAACCTGGTAGAGAGAGAGAGCGAGAGAAAGAAAGACAGTCAAGCTAATGTGTCACTCCACACTTGGCTATGCTGCTTACTCACTAGAGCTGATATTTAAATTATATATGTGTTGGCACATTGGCAAAAAAATTTAAACAAAATGTTGAATAACAGAAATATAAACTCTCAGGGATCCCTGTCTTTCATGTCACTGTGTGTGCAGCTCTCCACTGTAAGGTTGTACCGGTTTGATGTGCAGTCAGCATTGTTTATTAAAACCAAACAAGTTAGTACTGTGTTGTTTATTCTTTCTTACAATTCACTGCAAATGCAAGTGAGCTTAACAGACAATCCCCTCTGTTGAGTGTGCACAAAATAGCTGGGCTTATTGGCCTAATGCACAACAGACCTAGCTAGATCCTACTATTTACAATTCATTACAAACGGCAGAGTTCGATTTAATCAATCGATTCCATATGTGGTACACAATCATAACAAAGAGTTCTAAGGCAAGATCGGAATCTAAAACAATCAGGATTTGCACTGTAATATGACCATATATGTGGGTGTTTTCTGTATGGTTGGTGTTTATGTTACATATGTTTGTGTGCGCCCATCATTCTGTTTCATACCTGGGAGGCCAATTCTGGGTTTTGAGCCAGTGACTGCATCATACTGCGCATGTAGGGAGCAGACAACATGTTCTGCATCAGCTGAGGGTTTTCTGAGATCTGCTGCAGTAGACTCTGCATGCCCGGGCTGTTGAACATCCCTGTAACGCACAGAGAAGAC